AATATAAAGATCAGAGCATTCCTCACTGCAATGATACATCACTCTGCTCATATTTGGTCTGGGTGTTTTGTCTCCAGAATCTTCCCCAGCATTATATGGGTAGTTTCACTGCATTGTAATATCCAGAGGCAGATCTGGTGAGGCAGTGGTGGTTCTAGGACTAATTTGCCAGAGAGGCCAGCTAATAATCTGCATTTGGCTTTTTAGCTTGTTGTTGTAAGCTTGTTAGATTATTATTTGCAATTGGCATCAATGCTGGGTATGTGTTAGACCATGGTGTGTTAGTGGTAATGATGTCACCAGTGTGACAGAAATCAGGATAGTAAATAATGCAGTGCAACATGGAAGGAAGCCAGGGGAACCATTATCAGTGTGCTTTGTTGTTTGGCTCTACATTTCTTGTACCACCTGAGTTATTTTTTCCATTTGTGCTGCTATAGGCTTACTGTAGGCTGCTGGAGGACCCTTTTAATCATAATGCTTGATTCTATCTCTTTTTTCCCCTTCTTCAGTATTTGTTAATTCAATCTATAACGACGGGGCCGTCTCTGGAGCTTATTTAAAGTTGCCTTTTGTATCTCTGCTCCTTTTCAATGTCTGCTTCAGTCTCCTTGAATCTCAGTCGGCCTCAGCAGATGGCCGCTTACACTTGGGCTGGTTCTGCTGGAGGTTTCTTCCTGTTAAAAGGGAGTTTTCCTCTTCACTGTCACTACATGCATGCTTGATGTGAGGGATTGCTGAAAAGTCAATGGGTCGATGCAATCAGCTGTTTTTCCCCCAAATAGGGCGAAAGTCGTGAAGAGAATGACAATTCTGTCATGTTCTGAGGGAGTCTGTATCACTTTCGCTGACACTAAGCAACTTTGACTAGGGTTGCAGGAACCTTCCCACACAAAATAATTACAAATGTGGAGATTGCTTTATCGCAGATATATCCCTTCCCCCATTCCCAATTTCGATATAAAGACGAAAGTTGATGCGTCTAGGTTTCCGTCCGCCTAAAGCTTAGTTTATGCTTGATGTTCCGTGAGGTCCAAACAGCCAAATTACTTTCATTTTTGGCTTCCACACCTCTCCATGCAATTCAATTGTCTACAAGGGGCACCTCGGAAAATTTGTAATTATGCAGACGGATTCCCCTGGAAAATATGCTGAGCAGGCATCTTGGGATGCAGTCAGATTGGTTAAATATTTCTATCAAATGAAACCCAGCTGGTTTCATCCAGGCTTTTGACTTTGCAGGATTTGTTCCATCTACATGAGCATATGGTGACAGTAGACATTTGTTTGCATTGTGTTGTTGAATCTACATCTATTCCTCACATGCATGCACAGCAGTGGAGAGGAAAAACTCACTTTTAACAGGAAGAAACCAAGGCTGACTGGGGTTCAAGGGGACAGAAGTAGACATATGAGAGAAAAATGGAGGCACTGATCTATAAATACTGTTTATTTTTGAAAGGTAACAGTAAATTAGCTCCATAGGTGGCTCTATATAGGAAAGAAACAGCTAATAAGATGAACTATGAGCTGGTTATCATGTCAAAGGGGATGAAAGAGAAAATATAAAGTTAATCAAATTAAAAACTCAGCCTTTAGCGTTGTCTATAGGAGAGAACATTATTACTTCCAAACCATGAGAAACCCACAATTCTTTGCAGAGACCACCACAAGGAAATGTACATTCAAATGTAATCAACTTCGTAGGTTTTGGTTTGTGTGATGAAGAGCTGCTCACTACATTTGTGTTACTTTGTTTTTTGGAAGGCTGTAGTCCTGGATTTCGCTAACATCGTCCATGTGCCTTTCTGTAACGTACAGTAATGACATAATTTAAAGGCTCTCCGAAATGAGCACAGCAGATCAGAGGCCCCCTTTCTACCCAACACAAACAAAACCAGTGTTGGAGATTTATTTTCTTGGGATTCAGATAAAATTTTTTGTCTTGGATCCAAGATCAGTTACAATCTACAGCAATGGAAAGAGGCATTTCAAATCTGTTAGCAGGAAGTGGTTTACCTTAAAATCACTTGGCTGGACCAATCAGTTTCTTTTACTGAACGTAAAGATTCCTATTGGAATCAGGAGAGAAATAAAAAAAATAAAAAAACAAAAAGCATTCACCATTCTCTTATGTCTGCGCCCTAGTTTGTTTTTTTCCATTTTAAGTTGATGCAGCTAATAAAGTAATCAGAATCTTTTAAGATGGTGCCAATAAGGCAGTCTCCTTTTGCCTCCTGAGAAAATGTCCTTTTCAATTTATGTTATAATATCCTTGTTTGCCTTTGTTTTTACCTTTAGATACTTGAATACCCTACAGTATATCGATCACATGAAGATAGAAAACCTGCATATCATGTGCTCTCCTTCAGATCCACTATTAGGCACAAGATGGCGCCAGCCGTATTCAATTAAAATTATTTCTAAAATATTTTATTGATCCTAAAGGGAAATAAAATGTTCTCTGGTTTCTATTTAGCTCCATTATTATTTCTGAACTCTAATCAGCTGGTATTTTGTGTCTGCTCTCCTGGATAATAACTACCAGGCAAATGAGATGAATAAGGTCTTAACAGAAACAGGGGAAGTAAGTCTAGTTTTTGTTCTTGTAATAGCTGACATGCTAATTTCTAATACTTCAGATATTTTTCTATTCAGAAGGTAATAAAAGAGCAAACATGTAATCAGTAAAAGGACACTGATTACATGTTTTCAGATGAACAGGCCTGCCCCGACTAAAACCACTGCTTTCTACCTGTTTTAGATCTGTAGAAAAAAAATTTAATCTGGGTGCCTTTAATTAGAAACAAAACAGTAATAAAAAGCAGGGGTTTGCAAAAATTTCAGCCTTTACCCTAGGGCTGCAACTAATTATTATTTTGCAAATCGATTATTCAGTCAATTATTTTTTAGATTAATCTATTAATAATCGAAAAGCCAAATGTTCCTTAAAGAAGATTTCTTTTATGAATTTAAACCAGGTGAAACTCTAACTTTTCCACTTGAGGAGTTCTGGAAAGAGCATATTTACATCTTAAATGCAAAATGTTTATAGAATTTTTAACAATCTTGCCATAATTCCTGCTCTAAGTGGGTGGCTCTGACAGCTAAAGACATATTTAAAAGTCTATAAACTCCAGTTAACGATTAACTACTAGATTAGTTGAAGATTATTGAAATAACTGATTAATCCAATTAATTATTTCAGCCCTACTTGACCCACAAAAAAAAAAAAAAGGCAGGCGAACCCCGCAAAATGCTTATCATTTCACTCTATACTTACTTATACATATACATTTAAATAATTAATTTAAATAAATATATTTTCTAAATGACTTTTACTTAAAAGTATAGAGGAGGATTTTGGTGAATTCATGAAAAGACTCGCCCTCTCCACTTTTAAACAAATTATGCACAAATCTGTACCTGTTCCCTAAAGGGAAGGCCTATTAAACGTGTGTGAGAGCGTGCACAAACCCCTTTCTCCTCATGAACGCTCTATTTAAAAGTTGCTGTTTGCATCGCTGCTACAAGTTTACTTTCCAAAAGATGATTTGCAATTTTGGGGACGAGCACATAAGATGGTCTTATGTAAACATATCACCAGCATGACTGACAATTAGCAGGACCACTTATTTTGATTATCCACCCGGGAAAAATAAAATCCTTTACTATGCCTTTAATTAACTGATCATTTTTAATTTACTTTTATTATATACTGGGAGAATTCATTGTGCATTTGACAGTTTATTGATATATTTAATTTTTGTATCAGGTAGATAAATGAAGCTTAAGCGAAAATTTAAGACTCTTATCAGCTTATCTGAACCACCTGCAATGTACCTTATCCAGTTTCAGCCAATCATCTCTGGCCACACCTTTTCCAAAGTCAATCATTTCTCAAGATCCCATTCATTAGGCTCCTGGGCTAGCTTCTCTCTCCTGCATGCAAGCAAACTTTCACCCACCCCCCACCCCATCTCCTCCCTCATTTTCAGTCTATTCTCAGTCCAACTCACCTTCTGGTTTATTCCATCACCAGAGTCCAATCCCCGCTGCAAGATTACTCTAATTCTTTTTCTGGTTTCTTCCTTCAGGCAAATGCTGATTCACTGTATAGAAGTCTTCTGCCGGGGCCTGAGCGCCGAAGTACTTAGTTCCATAATGTCACTATCTGTATGTCTGCTTGGGTCTCTTTGAATCTCAGAGGCCGCTCACACTGAGCCTGCTTGAGGTTTCTTTCTGTTAAAAGGGAGTTTTTCTCTCCACTGTTGCTACATGCATGCTCATTGCAAGGGGTTGGAGAGTCAACTATTCCATGCAATTAGCTGGTTTTCCTCAGAAAAATGTAACCAATCTGTCTATGATACCTGTATAAATGTAATTGAATAAAAATGTTTTAAGGGCATATTTTCTCGTTGTTTCTCCAGATTGAAATAAATGTTCTATCAAATTCATGTTAAATTTGTGTATTTCAGTCATATTTATGTCTTTCATTATATATTTTGGCCCTCCATATACCCAGGGATCACATCATAATGATCCTGTGACCCTCCTCTTAGAGGTCTGTGAGAGCCTTTGTGTCTGGTTGTGAGAGCAGAAAACTGGTAACAGATAATTAATCCCGGTTTTTCTCAGCTGCTTTAGAACCTTTATTGAAATATCCTCGAGATTTTCAAAACACTGAGTGCCTATCTATAAAAACAAATAATAAAACACCAAGGATTACCTGCAAAAGTCAAGCTTTCATTTAACATGTTGGTGCTTTGTAAGGATAAGACACTCAGGTTGCTTATTTAAGTGGTGAAAATAACTCTGGTTTCCTCTGGAAGGATGTCCTTATGTAAACCAGTAGTCTTTTTATCTTTTTGAATCCCCAATTTCCTTCTACAGTCAGTTTCTCTCCCTTTGTTGCAGGTGTTTCAGCCCTCGCTCCTCCACAATCCCACAAGTCTTAAGCAGGTAAGAAAAATTCAAGAATGACTGCACTTAATTCAGATGACAGATTTAATCTGGAAGATTATTCTTTATTATTTTGGCCAGAAGCGGATTTCCTTATAAATATACAGAGGGTAGACTATAATCTAAACAGATACACCAAGGTTTTTCTACTTTTACAGTCCTGATGGACCTTTGACACAGAAAATGGCGTCACCTGGTCTCATCCGTTTCACCTTTCATGATGGTCATTTAATATAGACGTAAGGAGTTAAATCAAAATGATTTATAGGCCATGATGACAGCAATTATTATTTATTAATGCTTTTTTATGACCTTACCAGTCCATATTGAATCTGATTAACTGACAGTAAAACATGACAATTGTTCAGTAAGCTTCAAAAGGAGAGGCGAAGCGTTTAGTTGTACAAACAGATCAATTCAACAAGGTGTTTTCAGTGGAAGTGCTTGGTGGGACTATGTTACGTTTTTTCTTGTAACTGGGCCAGCGACATATGGGACACCAGTGCTTCCCTCCCATCAGCCATATCACAATGCACTGCTGGTGGAAGGCGTGGCCGCAGGGCAGCCCCATGAGAAGCTCCTCATTCGCAATGTTTTCTAGACACACCACGCACTCTGTGCAAGGAAGCATGCCGCTGGGCCACCCGCAACAATCACAATCCTGATCATCAGAGACTTTTTTGGGAATGCTGCCACCCTCTTCCGGCGATTTTTCAACTGTTTGGAGGCTTTCGTTTCTACAGCAGCAGCAGGATGGGGAAAGAGGGGCAGATTCTGCACACTGATGGCTACTGTTGGCATCTGGGTCCCCATGCAAACCAGGGAGTCTGCTGCTAACCTGATTGCACAGACACCCTGTGTGCCTTGAGCAGATGTGTGGAAGTCTGTTTGTGCCAGCAGGAGAGGAATCTGTCGGCCTCTGGCTGCTCATTTCCGATATGTCATGTTCATTGTCTTGATGGACACAAGAAACATCCTGGCTTTGGTGAACAAAAGCTCTAACCTTCCATGTCGGAAGAGATTTTAAATAGTCTACATTCACTAGCGGGCGAAGCCAGAGATCCGGGAAAGCCAATCGCTCAAATAAAAAGCTGGGATCGTCCTCCCATTCCGAGTGATCCGATGGGAACTGTTGCACTAAGGCGATGGGGTGAAGCAGAAAAGAGGCGTACCAGTCCCACAGACTGGCTAACCACTCCAGGTTGGTGGTGCTGTCCTCCTGGTTTCTGGAACAACAGCGGCGTTTCTTCTCAAAGTAGTCAATCAGCAAGCCATAGGTCAGGTACGTGGACAGAAAGAGAGCTGGATGGGATGAGAAAAAAGTCCAGTCGGCTCTCACTAAACTTGCAAACGTGGTGGTGTCCGCATAACGTATCAACTTCAGACTGTAACCATACAGAGTGTCCAGATAGGGAAGCTGAAAGAGAGCCTGGGGTTGGGGGGAAAAACAAAAGAAGTTACGTTTTTATTGACCTTTCTGCTTAGCCTCTGAATGCATACACTTTAGTACCTGCAGTAAATGTTATAACCACTGATATAGGCCTACTGGTTAAGACGCCACATGACTATGAAGGACGCAGAGGAAGCATTGCTATGCATCGAGTCAGGTCTGCTGCAGAAGCAGCACCAGAGGAATTTTAAAGCCAAAGTAGAATTATATTTCTTTGACAATTTTACTTGAGTTTGATTGAAATCTAGTGTGGATCAAATATGCAAGTGGAGAGGTATCACATGAAAGATGGCAGAAAGAAATGTTACTGCTTGACGGAGAGCTTCATAAACAGATGGGTGGGTGTGTTTGTTTACAGCACCTTTATAGTGCAGTAGGTACACACGTCCCCACTGCCTATGGATTTCTGTTTAAAGAAGAGACATTTCTATGTACCATAACTTCTGCCATTTACAAAGCTTTCATTTAAAACATATTTTATAGCATAGCGGATGAGACATGGGGACCCTACCTCCTTATTTGTCAAGGATTCATACTTAGTACCGTTAGAACTATGGAGTGAATTTTCTGCCAAAACGTTGCATACAAAAAAGCATGTTGCACACATACACACATAAAGCATGTTTTGCAAAAATGAAGCACATTTCACACAAACAAATCTTATCACTCACAAATAAACATGTTGCACTCAAATTAATCTTATTGTTCACAAACAAAACTTGTGTTAAAAACTCAAATGTCACACACACATAAAACTTGTTTTTCAAACTGTCCTTAAATGTTGCACAAACAATAAAGTTAGTTTAACAAGCCGGACTCTGACGTTGCACTCAAAATATCATTTATAAATTGTCCCTGAATACAAAATGATCTCTGCTGGCATACAAAACAGCCTCTCCTCGCGTACGAGACAATTCTACACATTCCACTGAAGTTTTATGCTAAAAGTCATGTGATAAATGAAGAATTGTCCTTCTGACTGACCGACAGCAGGAGGCGAGAATTTTAACACAACTTTTATTTGTGAACAATAAGATTTATTTGAGTGCAACATATCTATTTGTAAGTGATACGATTTTTGCGTGAAACGTGCTTTATTTGTTTGCAACATGCTTCTTTGTATGCAACATTTTGGCGGAAAATATTGATGGGGATGGTTTTGTTTACTCAATGCATAGCAATGTTAGCCTAGGTGCCATTCCGAACTTGGTCCGGCCCACAAGGTTTGAGGTCGGGAAGTTCGGTCTGGCAT